TATAAATGGAACAGTAGTTCCATGCACAGAATAAAGATGGAATATGTTTCTAAGAAGAACCCCATTTATCTCAATTTAATTTTGAAGCCTATTTCTGGTGACCTGTGCCAGCATTACTAAAGGAAAATAACAAGTTTTAAATATGAAAATAGCTGAACCATATGTTGAATACTTTTTCTATCAGTTGCAAGACTGACCGAGCTTCTGACTAACCGAAGAACAGTGGTGTTTACACTGTCTTTAGTTGCAAAGCAAGAAACTGAGTGGCTTGTAGGAATTTATGGATTTTAAGTAAGCAAATATCTATGATTTAATAATACCTGTTAAAATATAGAAAACTAGAGAACACTAGACAACAAAAATAAATATCCCCAAAGAAATTCCAGAAATAGCAGTCTGTTGGGTTCATACCAGTGCTCAACATGCCCTCCAGCATCCCAGAGAGAAGGGCATAAAAGGGGGGCAGTCTCCAGTTCCTTCACTCTAGTTCTTTTGCTAAGACAGAATGTCTATTGCTAAGGACTTGGCAGTCGTAGGGAAGGAGGGCAGGTTGTGGAATACATGTTCACGCACATCTGAAAGAACCACAGTTACTGTAGGAAAACTGCTGTTCTTTGAGTGATTGTCCACATGTATTCCGCTTCTGGTGACTCACTCACAAGCAGATTTGTATTCTGGAGGTGGTGCTCAGAGTCTATTGGGATTATGACTGCAGGACAGCTCTGCCAAACTGGTTTTTGGATCTGGAGACCTCCAGCAAGGAGGTAGATGCTCAGTCTACTGCAATGATGACTGCCGGACAGATCTGCCAAAGTGGGCATGGGATTTAGAGCCCTCAAGCAAGCAGTAGTGCTGGGAGAAGCTGTCAGCTGAACTTCAGGTAGTTGCTCTACAAATCAATGAGATTGGGACACCCCACAGGGAATCAGCAGAGACTGCCTGAGCTCTGGTGGAATGGGTCTTAATCTGTCCATGTGTGTCTGTCTAAGTGGCCCATCATGAAGCATATTTTAACACAGTTTGAGATCCATTTTGACATCCTTTGGGTGAACATAGGTTGATCTTTCTTTATGTCAGGAAATGTAAGGAACAATCTAGGAGAGTTCTTAAATGGCTTTGTTCTGTGTATATAGTAAGAAACAGACCTGACAACATCCAACGGGTAGAGTTTAGCCTCTCTCCATTCGGCATGAAACTTGGGGAAGAAGACAGGTATATGGATCATCTAGTTAAGATGAAAGTCAGACACCATTTTAGGTAAAAACCTTGAGTAAGGTCTTAGTCACTGTGCCATTTTGGAATACTGTAGAAGGTGGTCCTGCCATGAAGGCCTCAATTTCTCCCATACTACTGGCTGAGGTTTTGTTCTCAGATTCATGAGGTCAGTGTAGCAAAAATGTCAGGGCCATGCTGGGCTATCATTTTCATTAGAGCTGTGTCTGGCTTGACCTTCAGGGGAATTTGGAGGGTGGGCATACGTGAGCCCTATTGAGCCTGGGATCAGAAAGGCATCTGATAGGGAAGTGAAGGATGTTCTGGATGACTCTGTGGCAGAGGAATGGTATTTCCTTAATGCTGAATGGGCTCTGGAGCCTGGAGAGGACTGGCATGTTACTGGGGTACTGTGGGAGGTGGTCTGGTCTGATGAACAGTCTTCTCACTTTCCAGTGCCAACAAATCACATTCAGAGCTCTCCAAAAGGAAGAACTTAAGTTGCAACTCCCTAGATTTTTGGCTTCTTTATGAAAAGGAACAGCATATAAAGTATTTTCATGGTGTATGTGTTTTTTCCAGACACAAGAGAAGTATTTTAGAATTCAGGTATTCCATTAATAGTTGATATACATGAATATTGACTTTAGAATATAAGATGGGACTTGAACTCATGTCCTTTGAAAAGACGGTGGTGTGAATGGTAAATAGTTTGAGAACCACTAACCTAATTAATACATCATGATTGACACTCACACATAAATTACATTTTAGGCCTGGTGACTTACAGATATAAATATTAAAGGTCTTTACATTAACTCCTGCTTTCTGAATTTAGGTGAACCAGGTGCACAAGAATGTCAGGAAAGAGGGATTTAAGCAAAAATGAATATTGTACCCAAAAGAAGAATAGAACTATGGTCTGTCAAAAACAAATTCATGTTTATGTAGCACACTAATAAAACAGATTACATTCAGAAATAAGTATGCAATATTAGTGTAGCATCAGTTTTGTGACTACTCAATAATAGCTAATAACAGCTAACCAGTAACCAGCATTCCTAGAGACCACATTATGTAATCTCCCTTCATTAAATATTTCCAGAAATTAAGTGCTGAAAGTATTTGTAATATTCCCAAAATGTCCCCAGAATGAGAGTCTCTATGCAAAACCATATATCAATCATTCATATAAGTGATAATGTCATAGTAATAACAGTACAGAATTGGTTTAGACTTTTGCAAAAGAAGTGTGATCCACATTTTGTCAGATTTAATAATGTAGTAAACAAGATTCTTTATCTTAACACTTTCATGTTTTAATTTAGTACCCAATACTGATAAATAATTTAAAGTAACAATTTGCTTTGCACTAATCCCTGGGTATGAGTTTACAGTAAAAGTGCTGTCTGTTTAAAAATAACCAATAATCATAGAAAATATAAACAGCAATTCTAGAGTGATACAAAGTAGCAATATTTACATTGTTCTCTTTTTATTATTCATACTTCAAACAGGAAATTCTACAGCTCAACAGACGCTTGCAGTTTGTTCAGTTGCCAATGAAGGTCTCATGCACTACATCTTTTGGGGGGCCAGATCCCATTACCTAGAAGTCAATTTGGATTCACCATTGACTAACATGCAAGTAAGACTGGACACTTGACTATCAATACTTGGTATCAGAATAGAAAAAGAATATTTCAGTGTTTTCATGTGATTTTTTTTTAAATTGACATTGCTACTACAAGTCCCTGCATGATAGGATCATGTACAGGTATATTAGCAGCTATGATTTACTACTGCAGTAAAGATGTTGTCCAATGAAAAATGACTTGCCCACAGATAGATGTCCTCTGGAGGTATTAATTTAGCATGTTATAATGAAGAGCTTGCTGATGATGATACACAGTAGTTTAAATAATAAAAATAGCATTTTTTAAAAAAGAAAATGTTTTATTACTTTAATTTGGGGGGGAGCACTTTCCAGTATTTGATTTACTTGACACACACACAAAACCTTTTCATGATTTAGAATTAAACCTGCATGTTGTCCTTGAAACAATACAAATGAGAGTACTGTATTGGTCCTCAGATCTATGTCTACCATCCTGACTGAAGAAAAAAAGTGCACCTACAAAACCATGTAAGTTGGATGGCAAAATATGTAGAATTATCACCAGCAAACACTGTTGCTACCTTAGTGATTCTCAACTATTTCCATAATATGACACCATGTTCCCACAGAGGAAAAATAGTTTGGGACCTTCTTATCTAGCAAAAAATAAAGGTGGTGTGGGGGAGATGATTACAACTTTCCTACAAGTCCTGACCCTCAGGTTGAGAATCCATGGACTACATGATATCCATGTATTAACATAGAGGAATGGTCTGTTGTGTTACCATAGTTGCATGTATAAACCAAACAACGACTGGCCTGTCACAATGTAGATATGCCCTAAGTCAGAGGTTCTCAACTTTTTTCTCTTGGAGGGTCCCCACCCCACACATACTATAAAAACTCCACAGCTCACTTCTGCCACAACAACTGTTTTTCTGCATTGCTAGGGGGTAGCAAGCAGGGCAACGGCCCGGGCCCCCTGCCACATGGGGCCCCGCAGATCTAAGTTGCTCAGGCTTCACTTTCAGCCCTGAGTGGCAGGGCTCAGGGTGCTGGGCTTCAGTCCCTTGCCATGGGGCTTCAGCTTTCTGCCCTGGGCCCCAGCAAATCTAATGCTGGCCCTCAGGCCCAAGGCAGAAACCTTGGCAAGCCCCCTGAAACCTGCTCGTGGTCCCCCAGGGGACCCCGGACCCCGGTTGAGAACCACTGCCCTAAGTTACCATATGTCAGTGCTAGACTGAAGATCTCACTGTGGGTGCCTGAGCCCCATGTAGCTCTGTAATGAATGTATATGATCAGTATAGCCTCTCACAGGGAAAGTTTTAATGTCTGACGTTTCAAATGCAGAATGTGACTGTTTCTGTGACTTAGATGAGATTTTTTTTTTTAATTTAAATTCCTTATGGAAAAATTTGATAGTCACATTGAGTTTAGTCTTGTAACTCTCATACACTTAGAGAAGTCAAATACATAGTGTACCAATATACAGCAATGTTTAATTGCCTCTCTCACTCAGCACAGTGTGCAATAATTCTTATCTGTTGTACACCAGGAGGAATCCAGAAGCACAATACAATTGCAGTGCACAATAAATGTCAGTGCTGTTTCTTTCTTTAGGCCACTAAAAGTTACTACTCTGCAACTTGTGTTTTCATCTTCAGTGGAGAGCTGCAATATAGCAGCATCAGTGTCTACTAGCAGGGGCGCTGGGCATTCATAAATCAGTGCAGCTCTGACTGCTAGAGAAGCAAAACGGGAGACCGACCCCATTGCCAATTTTCCTGGTCTAAGGGTGAGCACTTCAACCGGTCAAGTCAGCCTCCTTCACTGTTTGGAAGATACAAAGCAGCTTGACTGTCCCCTGAAGGAATCAAGATAGTTTCTCTCCTTTTTGGATGAGTGTCTGTCTCTCTATATATACACAGGCACTCAGACATTGGTTCTGTGTGTGTGTGAATGTTTTCTTGTTATACATGGGCTAAGACTCTCTGTGCTATTTGCTATTTACATAACTCGGTAAATAGTAACAGGTCCGACGTTTCTAGGAATTTCCCTGTAGAAAATGGAAGAAGAGGGATGGTCGTTAGCATACCCCTGCTTCCCACCCCCACCCCTCTTTTGTCTCCCTCTGCCGTGTTCGCAGAGCAGAGCTGAACCCCAGACTCACCTGTCGTCGTTCTGCCATCCTTGGTCTCCCAGCAGCAAATCCCGAAACCTGTACCTGGGAGGAAGAGGAGGCACCTCACTCTCCAGATCCACCATCCTACCCTGGCAGCCAAAGCCTCTCCCCCGCGGCTCAGATAGCAACAATCCGACAAGGAAGCAGGAAACCGAACGGGTTGCCCCAAGCCAGTGCCGGCGTTAAACACACAAAGGCAGAGAGCAGCCTCGAGTCCTGTGCTGGGAAGGGGACGCTCCACAGCATCTGAACCAGTCCCAGCCTCTCTTGCAGAACGGAGAACGAGGAGAACCGGGGTCGAAAGTTATTTTCTTGCAGCCGCCGCTGTTCGCAGCCTTTCTCTAGGAAGCAGGTGCGGCGGACAGGCAGGGACCAGGGCTGCGTTAGATGCACACACAGCTCGCAGGCTCTGGGTTGACAACAAAGAGATGCCTGCCATACGCAGCCATGCAAATGATATTTGGAGCTGCCGCTGGCGGGCCAACCAATGCGATTAACTCTCATTAGCATAGCCCAGAGAAGGTGAGGGGAATCTATCATCGCCAACCAATGGGATTAAATATATTAGCATAATGTGGCTGTGGGATTTTCTCAATCCCAGACACAGGGCTGGAGCAGCAGCAGAGCCCTGTGGATGCAGGTATAGTCTCAGGGATGCCCAAAAGTCTCCTTCAGAGAGAGGCATTGCAGCAGATATGGATATACAGGACACGTGTAACCATGCCCATCCCTACCCCAGGCATACCCTAGGATACCAGGGGACCTCTACACCCAGGCTGGCACAGGGGAGGGGCAGAAGCTGGGTGTGGCCAGGCTGGAAGATAGAGAGGAAGCACCTGGACGGACCTGTGTCCTGCAATACAAACTCCCTTAAGGGACTAGTTAAATTGACTGTGGGGTTTCCTAAATGTCCACCCACAATTCCCAGAAGGGACAGACATTTTCTTCCACAATACCAGCAAAAGCCTTATGACAGCAGCACAGTTCCTGGGGGATCTAGGAACCATGGGGTGCACTTCAAAATCTTTCTCTCACACTAATAACTCTAATGTCAGTGTGGATACAGGGTGCTTAGATACTGCAAGGGACTGAATTGTTCCTTTGCAATGTGGTTGCATGCTCCTAAGTCAAACAAGTGACTCAATCCTGGTAAATCTGTAGTGAAGACATACTCATAGGGGTCACTGCACAGGTTAGTCCCTGAAGGGAGGAGGCACAAACTGCCTCCCCTTGATTCTTTATGCCTTACTCTGTCCCACAGTGTTCTTGTGGCACTGAGCACTAGGAGAGGCAGGATATCCAAGGGAAGTGTACGTTGTCTATTTTAACAGAACCAGTTTGGCTTTTGTGTCTGTAAAGGGGCACCACCAACTTGAACGTCACATTTCCAGCTGACAGTGCTTAACTAGTTGTTTTTAAAAACTACATCTAAGATCACTGTAACAGCATATGAGCAAAGAAAACAATTCTCTATTTTGTCATTGTGTTTACTTTGCATCTTGTATTCCCAGTATGTGTGTAGTCATTTCTTAGATTTTGCTGGTGGTGTATGCCTTTCCCCAAACTCTGCAACAGGGTGTTTAATACTAACAGTAGCAGCAGCAAAGAGAGAGGGAAGAGCGGGGAGAAGCCATAGGAAAGATAGCTGAACATCTGATGCCATATGTAATATTAGTCCCCCACATTTGATTCCCTTCAGAATCTACTTTGTTCTACTAAATGCAGCCCTTTTTGTCACTTCAGCAGCAAAAAATGAAGCATTAAGATAATTGTCTCTTTTTCCTTTCTTTCTTGCAGCATTCAAGATCTTTATTTATCATTACATTTTAATAGTTTTTAAATAATGGGTCTTATTCATTCCAGTTTTACACTTGTGTAACTCCACTGAAATATTGCCACTACAAGTGTTATAAAATCATGAGATGAAAATAAATAATAATTTGTAGGAACTTATTTGGCATCTGAGTATTAGTATTTAGAGTTCATTCAAATTCACATGTTTCCAGGTTTGTCTCTATAACCATCAGGATTAGAAACATGCCCCCCCTCCCCATGAAAGCTGACATTCTCACCTAATCATATGCCTTTAGGAGCTGGGGCTTTAAGAAAAAAACAACAAATATTGTAAGATTTATGATGAAATCATGAGAGTTAGCAACACTGCTTTAAAGTGAAATAACCCAGGTGAATCAGGCTCAGTGGGCCTTGCTTTGTCATTTTTCCTCCTTTTTCAAACTGATGAACTCTGTCAGCCCTTTCTGTATTATATGAGGAGCTGAAGCCCCAATGTGTGTGTGTCAGGGAGCAACTTCTAAAGAAAACAATAGACGGTACAAAGCTGGAAGGGGTTGCAAGTGCTTTGGAGGATAGGATTAAAATTCAAAATGATCTGGACAAACTGGAGAAATGGTCTGAGATAAATAGGAAGAAATTCAATAAGGACAAAAGCAAAGTACTCCACTTAGGAAGGAACAATCAGTTGCATACATACAAAATGGGAAATGACTGCCTTGAAAGGAGTACTGCTAAAGGGATCTGGGGGTCATAGGGGATCACAAGCTAAATATGAGTCAACAGTGTAATGCTGTTGCAAAAAAAAGCAAATATCATTCTGGGATGTACTAGCCGGAGTATTGTAAGCAAAACACGAGAAGTAATTCTTCCACTCTACTCTGCACTGATTAGGCCTCAACTGGATTATGGTGTCCAGTTCTGGGTGGCACATAACAGGAAAGATGTGGACAAATTGGAGAAAGTCCAGAGAAGAGCAACAAATATGATTAGAAAACATGACCTCTGAGGGAAGATTGAAAAAAATGAGTTTGTTTAGTCTGTAGAAGAGAAAACTGAGAGTTTTCAAGTACATAAAAGGTTGTTATAAGGAGGATGGAGAAAAAATGTTTAGTCTGTAGAAGAGAAAACTGAGAGTTTTCAAGTACATAAAAGGTTGTTATAAGGAGGATGGAAAAAAAAATGTTCTCCTTAACCTCTGAGGATAAGAAAAGACACAATCTGCTTAAATTGCAGCAAGGGCAGTTTAGGCTGGACGTTAGGAAAAGCTTCCTAACTGTCAGAGTGGTTAAACACTGGAATAAATTGCCTAGGGAGGTTTTGCAATCTCTGTCATTGGAGATTTTTAAGAGCAGGTTAGACAAACACCTGTCAGGAATGGTCTAGATAATACTTAGTCCTGCCATGAGTGCAGGGGACTGGACTAGATGACCTCTCAAGGTGCCTTCCAGTCCTATGATTCTATGAAAACCAATTGCATTTGTCCCTTTGAGAATTTTAGTGAGTTCTCTTTCCAGGCACTCCTGCTTCTCTTCATATATGTCCACTCTGCTTTTTCAGTCTGGCACTGTCATGCCTATCCTCACTAGTTTCCAACAGAAGTTTTTGTTAATTCATTATATAGCAGATGAGAGTTAATACTGGTGACATTTTTCGAAAGCCCAGAAATATCTTCTAAAATTGTATACAGTCTCCGTATCAAATATAGTTACTGTGCTGCTGTTTTTTACTAATATCTGCACAGGTGCCGTTGTTTTGTTGTTCAGTGATGTTAAAGTGAGTCATTTGACCACACTTGGGCCTCTTGTTATCTTTTCCCCTCACTGGGCTCAATTTTTAATTGCTCACATGTTGTCCTGGTAGTTAATTTGAGCATTTGTGACTGATATATTTGTGCCTCATCCTGCAAATATTTAGGCACATGTCCTGTTATATCAACACAGCTACTCATGTGCTTAAAATTAACCATGTACCTAGTATATGCCCAAGAAATGATAATTTCTGATTAATAGGAGTGCAATAGGCAGAAATAAGGCAATCATCTTACAAGGTATGGTGTGAACCTCAAACCTTTTAGAATTCTTTTGAAGGGAGGGATTTTTAACATAAATTATCATAGAATCATAGAACCGGAAGGGACCTCGAGAGGTCATCTAGTCCAGTCCCCTGCACCCAAGGCAGGACTAAGTATTATCTAGACCATCCCTGACAGGTGTTTGTCCAACCTGCTCTTAAAAATCTCCGATGATGGAGATTCCACAACCTCCCTAGGTAACTCATTCCAGTGCTTCACAACCTTCCTAGTGAAAAAGTTTTTCCAAATATCCAACCTAAACCTCCCCCACTGCAACTTGAGACCATTACTCCTTGTTCTGTCATCTGCTACCACTGAGAACAGTCTAGATCCATCTTCTTTGGAACCCCCTTTCAGGTAGTTGAAAGCAGCTATCAAATCCCCCCTCATTCTTCTCTTCTGCAGACTAAATAATCCCAGTTACCTCAGCCTCTCCTCGTAAATCATGTGCTCCAGCCCCCTAATCATTTTTTGTTGCCCTCTGCTGGACTCTTTGCAATTTTTCCACATCCTTCTTGTAGTGTGGGGCCCAAAATTGGACACAGTACTCCAGATGAAGCCTCACCAACGCCGAATAGAGGGGAATGATCACATCCCTTGATCTGCTGGTAATGCTCCTACTTATACAGCCCAAAATGCTGTTAGCCCTCTTGGCAACAAGGGCATACTGTTGACTCATATCCAGCTTTCCGTTCACTGTAACCCCTAGGTCCTTTTCTGCAGAACTGCTGACTAGCCACTCAGTCCCTAGTCTGTAGCAGTGCATGGGATTCTTCCGCCTAAGTGCAGGACTCTTGTCCTTGTTGAACCTCGTCAGAGTGCATCTGACCCCATGGACTTGTGCTCATCCAGCTTTTCTAAATAGTCTTGAACCACTTCTTTCTCCACAGAGGGCTGGTCACCTCCTCCCCATACTGTGCTGCTCAGTGCAGTAGTCTGGGAGCTGACCTTGTTCGTGAAGACAGAGGCAAAAAAAGCATTGAGTACATTAGCTTTTTCCACATCCTCCATCACTAGGTTGCCTTCCCCATTCAGTAAGGGGCCCACACTTTCCCTGACCACCTTCTTGTTACTAACATACCTGTAAAAACCCTTCTTGTTACTCTTAACATCCCTTGCTAGTTGCAACTCCAGTTGTGATTTGGCCTTCCTGATTTCACTCCTGCATGCCTGAGCAATATTTTTATACTCCTCCCTGGTCATTTGTCCAAGCTTCCACTTCTTGTAAGCTTTTCACTGTTAAGCCAAGCTGGTCGCCTGCCATATTTACTATTCTTTCTACACATAGGGATGGTTTGTTCCTGCAACCTCAATAAGGATTCTTTAAAATACAGCCTGGACTCCTTTTCCCCTCATGTTATTCTCCCAGGGGATCCTGCCCATCAGTTCCCTGAGGAAGTCAAAGTCTGCTTTTCTGAAGTCCAGGGTCCATA